CGCGGCGTTCACTGGCGATGTAATAGCACCAACCAAAGCAGCCTCTGCAGCGCTGAAACCTGTTGTCGTCCCGTTCGACGAACCCATAAGCGAGTGTGTGTTATAGAAGTAGTAGGTCTGGTCTGTGCCGTGCTTCAAAACGTACCGGCTTTATTATATATTTCATTAGGCAAAACATTTTACGACTGTCTCACTTAATCCGGACCTTACGGTAATAAAGATATCGTCCTGGAACCCGGTTTTGGAATAGTGGAAATCCGTCAATTTATCTCAGTTTTACGGGAAAAGAAGTTTCCGGTCAAGGACTCTAAATCTCTCAATCCGGACTTTACGGTACCAAGTTGCGGTGCTGCCACTATTTGATGGAATGTGATTCCATCGAGGACCGAAATTTTTGGAACCAACTCTTTCAGTAATATCGAATAAGAGACCCCCTTTCAAAATTGATGACTTATGTGATGGCTCAATGCGCAGTATCTACAGAAGCTAGCACGACCACACGCTGTAGCAACGCGCGCAGGTGTCGACATCGATCACGACGCACAGAGAAGTTGTATTGAGATTAGAAAGATGAGGTGCCGCGACAAGTGTGGTTCCAGCTGGTAGAATTAACAATTCGGGGGCGTGTACGCGGATACCACGGCATATTCATTGCGATTGTCTGAAGATGCAGGGTATCGTAATGATGCTGTTTTAACCAAGGTTTTGCGCGCTCTTCCTGCGAATGTGATTGCAGTCAACCTGCGAGTCTACGCCAACAAAACTGCATTCGAGTTGGTGAATGCCCCACTTGCAGTTCGTGACAAGATATGAAGCTAAACTTGGCCAGGCTGAAGAAATCTATGTCGTTGTGTCTGATCGTGTTGCTACCTCCGTCACTGACGCAGTCGTGGACAAGGCGAAGCGTAAGTTTTATAATTTTCAAATAGCTGCGTCATTGATAAATTAGTATCAGACTTAACTTGTCTATGTCGAAACCAAATGTCCTTATCAGTTATGCCAGCGTAATTGGATGTCCAATTTTGAGGTATATGTATGAAATACATGTGACATAATGTAGAAGCAATGTAATTACTTTCACGTTATTCACGTGTCGTTTTTGCGATTGACGCATTGCTCGTATCGGCCCAATGCGACTATCAACTCAATGTTATTATTCTGTACATCCAAAGTCTCTTTTTGTGCCCTAACAAACTATAGCGCAGTCTAATCACTTTGTTCTTGTAGTGACCACTTGTGTTTCAGCGATCAATTGTAAACATGACGATTTGCTGCTGAGTATCTGCCATCTCAGTCACATTTGGATCGAGCTGCTACATGTAGTAGTACATCGTACTATACTACTAGTAAATCAAAACTGAATTTTCACCTAGTACTGAATATGCAAGCGATACGAGTTGAGAAATATAATCGGGTCATTTGTGGGTCTGGTCTGCTCCACGTACGCCACCAAAAAATGAGACCGCTGGGACGCGTCCCAAAATCATGCTATACAGAGATTTGTCTTTGCTTCAACCAGTGTGACAAAACGATGCGCAATGTGTGGCGGAAAGCTCCAAGAACCTCCTGAGGAAGTGTTCAATATTTTACGGATGGCAGGGGTATGAATTGGTGTTTTCGAAGACAAGGTACATTTGATCCAGTGGTTTAGGTACACCAGAATGTATATAGAATAACAAGAAGAATGGATTCTCAGACGTGACAATATTAGAGTTCCTTTTAAAGGCTTACCCGGGCAAGAGAAATAAGAAATTTGCTACACTCATTGAATCGCTCATGAATGTCCCCAATTTGGGGATAATCGCCGGAAACATGCAGGCTCATCACTTTCGGAAATGGCTGGACTTTCCGTTTAATCCCAAACGTATAGCAAGTCTGTTGGTGGGTTCCATTCCTACCAGTGATATGCGCTTGCCAGAGACTGATCTCAGATACAAGACTTGGGAGGACTACTACACCTTTACTACACAGAGCAAAACCTATGACGAGTTTGTGCTGAAGAGAGTGAAGACATATTTTGGCAACGGAAGCCGTTATGATACCGTAGTGATATTGGTTTGATGAACAAGCGCACATCGAGAACCCACTCCAAGCCAAGGTTGTGAAATACGCGCAGCCATCGCTCTGGCTCTTGACAAAAATCTGTAATGGGCGATGATCTTCTCACATGGGGCCACCACAAATAACAAGCTATGAAATAACTATTTTGAGCGAACGCCACTGCTGTAGCCAGATACTGACATTTCTTTATGCAAAATTCAATCGGTTAAATTCGCATCACTGCGTCGTCTCCAATCACAATTTAGTACCAGAGGGCCTTGTTCCAGTGCACACTCTTCGCGTTGGCCAGCGCATACTCATCGACAGAGAACGTCTCGTTGATCACAATCTGCGTCCCCAAACTGGGATCGTTGTACTGCGGCCAATACAACTTGTCATCGGGCCACACAGTGTTCGGGTTGCCTGCCAGCACGAAGGACAGCAGGTATTTCTGCATCATTCTCGCAACCGCGGCGTTCACTGGCGATGTAATAGCACCAACCAAAGCAGCCTCTGCAGCGCTGAAACCTGTTGTCG